AATGTTTGCCAGAAGCCAGCAGAAGATGCTTAATTAGTTTTTTTTATTGTTTGTTTTCATGAAGTAAGCTAAGGGCGCAGCGCATTTTAGCGCACGTATCACTGCCCGGAAGTAAAAGTTATAGTAGTAGAGGTAGTTTTTGCAATTCATATCGTTACGTGATTGTGAACTAACTTGTTACAAAAAAACTCTCACCATTAAAACGAGTCTAAGAAAGGTAATGTCACTCATTATTGTTCCAGTGTAGTAAGTGCTGAGGGGTTAAATAATGGTAGGATAAAAATAAAAATGGTTCTGCTTGATATGTAATTCAGTTTTCGCGATAAACTTTTTGCTAGTGACGTAAGCGCTGAACAATTTGTCAAATCGAGAGTAGCGGTTCTTGCTAGTACTGAGGATAAAAGCAATTCCCCTCCTCCTCCGCCCTGCTCCTATTCATTCCGTGCGTCCCCCGCTTTAAACGACATCAAGATTTCATCTGGTATAAGAGCTGCATCATTCTTTCAACTGTAATATATACTCTCACTTTTACGCGAAATGTGGGGTATGGGGACGCAAAATGTAGCGCGAAAGAGTTCAACTCCTCTCTAGGAAACTCGCTCAATACGAACACTTTGTTATTGCAGAGAATGAGTTTCCTTTTTCCTTGGTAAAATACCTAACATTCTCTAAATCAACCCACTTAGTACAAGGAGTCGGACTTGTAATTGCGGAGAATTGTCACTTTTGGGGACGAGTCAGTTACAATCCCTCGTCCATTATCCCTGTACACTGAGGCAGCTATAGAATTGCAGGTTTTATAATGGGAGTTTTGTCACCTTGAGTGTACAATTATCAGAATTATTCACATAGAGAATATAAATCAGCAAAGATGATCATACTACGTGAAAATTAAAATTTGTAAAACATAAACACGACGACTACAGAACCTAGACTAGAGCGGGGCGTTAACCATTGCTCCATTATTGTGGCTCGTCGGAACCGCTCAACAACACAGAAGCCTTTGCTTAGTGATTAGCCACACAATCTGTTGAAAGCAATGATATTGAACCATCACACCCATAGAATCAAGTCGTATCACATGTCTCCGGAAGGGCAAAAGTCCAAGTGTCGTGTCGACATCTCGGAAAGAAAACAAATAAAATCTTTTCCAAATCTTAGGAAAAGTGTGAAGTAACATTTAATTTTTCGCAACAATACGTTTGGTTTTTTATATGGAAGGCGTTGGTTTGCAACCTAGCCTGCAACCAGGCGGTGTGTGTCTCGAGATTCGACCAATCAGGATGCGGTTTTTGTAGATTGATTGTCGCGCTTGGAAAGAGCTTTTTTCAGAGGTATATATGCTGAAATTCTCGCTTTATTCCAAGCTTGTGTTGGTAATTTCGACATTATACCGCCGTGAAAAGTTGTTGGAACATTTTATCTTGATAGTAGTTGTATTACTTTTAAATATTTTGCTTTCTTGAGCGTTTGTGACACGTTTGAATTGCTCGGTCATGTGCAAGCCGCCATGGATGATTTGAGAGTTATTTTCGCCGTTCTTCTTGGATTTATTGCTGGTTACTCTGGTTACTATTAGCGGTTTTATCGGATTATTTTGGTCAACTTGTTACTTCAACCCTTCTTCTTTATAAATTTCGTGGTCTACCCGGGTCTACCCCTGTTAGTTTTCCCGTTATGAGGCGTTGAAACTGTCTTGGAATGAAGAGATCGTCTCAGCCAAGTAGCACATTACCGGCCGATCCGGGAAACGGGCTGAGAAAACACCCCGAAGCGTAAACCGATGTAAAGCGAGTAACGACAAATCCAGGAAGAGTTTGTTCCATTTTAAACCAGAAAAGGTAAATAAGTTTGAACATTGTAATAACCTTTGGAACCAAACATTTTCATAACCCAGTCCGGAAATAGTGAAAGCTTGTCTTCCAAATAATTTGCATGCAGTGTGTGCTATGTGTAGACAATATCATACAGGATTTTAAATTGTGACGTTAGGTTTATAACTCCGCTCACTTCAATGAACGTGGAGGTAAGATATAATGGGTTTATTTCTGCGGCCGTAGCTCCGGTGAAATTCCCATTGTGCTGTAGCTGTTCGGCTCTTTCGGTCTATTTTTCCCTTGCCTGATTCAGATATGAACTACAGATCACTTTCACTCTGAGATAAAAATATACATATAAACACAGCACCAAAGAGTACATAAATCTTCTGAGAAGCAGGAATCGGCTAAAATCGCACCTTCGATCGTCTCCGAGTCGCGATAAACTTAATGAAATTGTCTTATGCAGCCAATAGCAAGCATCTAAGACCAATATTAGATCTTGAAAATTCTTCAAATCGCTCTCTTCCCTAATGTTTTGCAATTAAGGAGGCAGTGTTTTGATCCCGGGTTTTGATTCATATACTGCATCTCTCTCCCGAGAAGCGTACTCGACCGCAAGAGGCTCAGATTAAAACGCTTAAATTTCAGTCTTAAAATCTCTTAGAGCCTCAGCTCAAAATTCGATAAACAAATTCAACATCTTGAAGGAGTTGTGCCGCGAAATTTATCAAAATTCAAGAGGTGGGAACTGCCACCAAACTGAGTGAAACATAAAAATTGGACAAACGTGGATAGGATTGAAACGCTAGATTGCATATTTATTATGGATTGATTTATTTAAAACAAACTCGTTAGCCATGTAATTGTTTAAAAGTTCATTTTTGTTGTTTGTAACGTTTGATATAATGCTTTGGAAGAGATATTTGTTTGAAGCGAAGCTGTGGTTTTGCCATTCACAAGTAGTTTCTCAACTTCCATTGCACTTAGGAAGCGTAGTTGGCAATATAAATAGCAAACGAACTAGACATGCCGTGACATAGCCCAGACGATACAACATATAAACCATCTTAAATTCAACGAAAATTTTCTACTTCAGTTATCTCTAATAAAAATAGGCGTCCTCCATTGTTTTCAGCTTAGCTATACTACAATGTAATACCGGTACCTTCCTATGCTTCCTGTGCCAGCGACCTTAATATAAGTGACATGAGACAAACAGTCTGTTCTAAAAATTTAAAGTTTCCATGTTAGACTCGACTATTTATTTCTAAAGGCATTGCCCATCTCGACAGAAGCTCGTAATTTACCGCACGGTTCAACTGGCATGTCGCTGTCTAATTAAGTGGCGGCCTAACGATGTCTCAGCTAGAAACAGACGCATTGGCGTAAAACATTATTCAGTGCGTTTGCAAACACACGCCACGCCTACACGCAACATTAAATAAAAACGACGCTAATTAATTTATAGGCTGTAAGTTTCCACTTCAGTTACCACTCAAAAACTAAAGAAGTGTTGTTCGTTATTCTTAAAAACTCTCTTGCGTCACTCAGCACAAGCAACACGAGTTACGCCACTGAACTATATTCTTAACTTTTACTGTAAAATTAATTTCCACTTCCCGTTTTTCTACTATCGTCTCTGTCAATCTAATCAAATATACGATTGAAGTTACAAACAAATGTAAAGTCACGCAGCAAAACTTGTTCATTACCTGTACCAAGTAGTTTCGTTTGTGCCCAGTGTTTAAAATACTGCCGTTATGAAATTCTAACAACCATAAAGGCCTTGAAACTAAATGCATATTTGTATAGGTAATAGCATGATTTGTATAGTGTATATGATTTGTATAGTGATATTTGGCATAAATACCACAAGTGATATTTCGAAATTGTTGTACGTAGTTCACAAGCCGTTAGGGGAGTGAAATTTGAAACAATTTTGAAATATCACAAGTGGTATTTATGCCAAATATCACGTACAAATCATGCTTTTATTTGTTTATACTACTACCCGCACAAGGTTTGTAATTTTCACATGTAGGCATTCAAATTAAGCTGAAATACTACTGCTCTAAGCTAATCAAACTGCACAAATTTCTCATGTAGAAGTATAAAGTGATAAATTTTCAGCAGTTTATTAATTTAGTCCGTTGGAGCAAGTCGGACTCATGCGGACTGAAGCTTGTATCTCAATGTACGCGAGAGACGCGAGACGATTTAGGCCTGAACGTCTTTCACTTAAAACATTGTTTTTAATCTCAACAATTTTAGCCTTTAAATTAACAACTCAGTGTTATAAATAGAACAATTCTTTAATTTTGCCGAAATGAAGTAGAAGCGGATTCTCGACGAGCAATGCTATTAATGAGCAAAACTAATCAAAACTCCAATTTTTAAAACTTATATTCAGTATATAAATAAGCATAATGATTTGGATAAGCATAATGATTTGGATTTGGATAAGAAGTAGATTGCAATTTTTTATTATTATTATTTTATCTGATAGATTTACCGTGTTTAAATAAAAATAAAGTTCAAGTAAGTTCAAGCCTGAAATCCTGAGGGTGTTTTCATTTCAATAGTTGTGCACTCGGCGCTTGTTTAATTCAGTTCAACTTTGCTGCCCCTTATAAGGGTTAATCAATTAATTAACAAAAGCTGATTTTGCTCCATCGGAGCATGTTAAACGGCGAACCCAAACAAAAACATTCCGTTTTTAATTAATAAATGTTAAGTGTACCTGGTATCTTTAGTACTCATTTTTAGAGATGAATCCCGTTTCCAACCAAGCTATAATATGTTACGCTCGATTTCAGTACAAGTGAAGGAATTAAGGCAGCCTGCGAAATCAAACGCCATGTCACAAAAAGGACTCAGCATGTGAACAAACACAATACGACGCTTCAAGACAGGAGACATAAACGACGCTCAGGAATTAAACTTAAAATTTCCACTTCAGTTAGCCCTGATAAAACAGACGCATTGTCGCTACATTGTTCATTGTCCTTGGCTAAACGATTCAAGATCTTCTTGGATTTATTGCTGGTTACTCTGGTTACTATTAGCGGTTTTATCGGATTATTTTGGTCAACTTGTTACTTCAACCCTTCTTCTTTATAAATTTCGTGGTCTACCCGGGTCTACCCCTGTTAGTTTTCCCGTTATGAGGCGTTGAAACTG